TCCTCTACTTTCTCTCTCTACTATTCATTCGATACGTCTCCCTCTATGTTTTTTCTCTTTCTCTCTCTATCTTAAATTTCTTAAATTCTTTCTCATTTTTCTCGTTCCTACTTTCCACGTGTTCACACTTTGGCCACGTACTAATGCAGTTCTATCATTGTGTAATATTAATTAATAGGTTTATGTTTGTGTAGAATGTAAACACTTAAATATATGTTGTTGTAAAAATCCTTTTACCTTTTTGCCTTTTCCAATATGTTTTTTTCATTCTCTATTTTTTATTTTGAGGTTTAGAAGGCCATTAGAGAAAAACGATCATGTTATAAAATTTGGTTGTGTGATAAAAATGATCAAAACTTGGAAGAATATAAAAATGATAAGAAAAACGTTAAACATATGGTAAGTAATGCTTAACTTAACGCATACAATAATCCACACAATAAATTGGGAACAAAAAAAGGTGAAAAAGATGTCTTCAAATTAACAAAAATGAGAGAGAAAATGTGTAGGGATCTAGACCCTATTAAATGCATTAAGACTGAGGATCAAATGGTCTTGGTGAAGGATGAAGAGGTCAACGAAAGGGGGAGAGTTTATTTTCAAAAATTATTAAATGATGAACACAATAGGAAATAGCGGTAAAAGGAACCGTTGGCATAAACGAAGGCGGAGGTCTATCAGAAGTGAATGAAGCTTTGAAAAGGATGAAGAGAGGAAAGGCTTTAAGACCAAATGGTATCCCGATAGAGGTTTAGAAGTGCGTGGGGGAGATTGACATTGACTGGCTGACCAAGCTGTTTAACAAGGTGTTGAGAATAAAGAAAATGCTAGACGAATGGAGGAAAAGTATTGCAGTACCTATTTACAAGAACAAAGGAGACATACAAAAGTGTGCGAACTATTGAGTGACCAAACTTATGAGCCACACTATGAAGCTTTGGACGAGAGTGATTGAGCAACGACTAAGGCATAAAACGAGTGTATCAGAAAACCAATTCAGTTTTTTGCAAGGGAGGTCAACAACCGATGCTATTTTCTTACTTAGACGGGCGAAAGGAAAAGACCTCCAAATGGTCTTTATTGATCTAGAGAAATCTTATGATGGAGTATCTTGAGATTTAATTTGGTGGATGTTGGAAAAGAAATGAGTCTCCAGACACTACATCGACTTGGTGAGAGATATATATGATAGAGCGCAAACTAGTGTACGAACAATTAGTGGACAAACGTGTGAGTTTTCAGTGGCAATAAGTCTACATGAGGGGTCAGCATTGAGCCCATACCTCTTTGTCTTAGTTATGGACGACTTAACTAGCCACTTACAAGATGAGGTACCATGATGCATGTTGTTCGCAGATGACATAGTTTTGATTGATGAGATCCGAGACGACATCAACACAAAGTTAGAACTTTGGAGGGATGCTCTAGAATCTAAAGGTTTTAAAATTAGCTCGACTAAGACAAAGGATATGAAATGCAAGTTTAGTAATAGGAGTAGAGACGAGGAAGTAGTTAAGATTACGGTCAAGAAATACCAAAAAGAACGCATTTTAGATATTTTGGGTCGATAATCCAAGAAAATCGATAGATATGGGAAGATGTCGTATATAGAATTCGAGCTGGGTGGGAGAAGTGGAGATGTGCAACTTATGTCGTCGCCACATACCAATAAAGTTGAACGAAGTTCTATAGGACAGTTGTGAGACCAGCTTTGCTCTATAGGGCAGAATGTTGGGTGGTTATATACCCATATGATGAGTGTAACGGAGAAGATAATGATGAGATGGATAAGTGACAAGACAAGAAGGGATAAAATTCGAAATGAATACATTTGGAAAAATTTAGATGTAGCACCAATAGGAAATAAAATGAGAGAGAGTAGACTTAGGTTGGTTGGCTATGTGTGGTACAGACCCAGTACAACACCCGTAAGGAAGTGCGAGTTAGTTCAAGTGGAACGATAAAAAAGGCAAGGGGTAGGTCCAGAAGGACATAGTTGGAAGTAGTTAAAAAAGATATGGGGACTTATGGCCTCACTGAGGGTATGACCCTTAATAGAGAAGAATGGAGCAGAATTTGTGTGGCCGACCCAATTAGTCGGGAAAAGGCTTTGTGAGGATGATTTTTTATTTATTTCGATAATTCAAATTCCAAACATGAAAGTGATAAAAGTGTACATTTAAGATTTTGTCATTTAACAGATTCAAAAAAGAAAATAATAAAAAAGTAGAGAGCAGAAAATTCAAAAAAGAAAAAACAGAAATGTTAAAAAAAAATTAAAAAATTCTTTTATTTTTAATTTTTATTATGGTTTTTATTTTCTATTTTTATTTTTTCTTTTTGCATTCTCCAAAATTTTAATTTTTTATTATCTGATTTTTTTACTTTTTTAGATAATTCAAAGTTCCATTCAAAAAAGTAACTACATAAGAATTTTTTCTTTTCTCCTCTTTGTTTCCAATTTCAACTTTTTCTTTATCCTTTTTTCTTTTTTTTTTTTCGTTTTTCTTGTTTTTCACTTGTTGGATTTTCTATTTTTTGTGAACTTTCTAGACAAAAAATTGAAAAAGAAAAGTAGAAAAACAAAAAAAATGCCCCCAAATATATTTCTACGTGTTGTTTTGTAGTTTTTTTTGTTTGTTTAACTTTTAATGATTATTACAAAAGTACAAACCACAAACTAATCGAAAATTTCCTAAACTTGAAACTACAAATTAAAAATAAATTAAATTTATGAAACCCTAGTTCTTAATTTTTTTTTCAATATTTTTCTTATTTTATAAGCCTTAAGTTAAAAATATTTGTATTATTGAATATTAAAAAGGTTAAATATAAAGAAATAAAAAACTTACCTGTCGGAATCTCGTCGGAATCTTGTGCTTGAGCCTTTAGGGCCGGCGTTTTAAATTTTTAGGGCTTGAGGGAGAGAGAAAAAAAGAAGAAGAGAGAAATAAAGCGTTTAAATCTTTAGTTCTCTTTTTACAATTTAAATGAGTTAAATTGTATAAAATTAAGGAAACTTCACTATTAAGTTGTTTAATATAATATAAAAGCCCTCTTGTAGGACCCTTTAAAGGAAAAAAAACGAAAATTGACGATTGTAGAAACCGTCTTTTCTTCCCCCACTATGGACCAGCCGGTTCAGTACTGAATTGTTGGACCAGCTGTTCTACTAGTTGGACCAGACGGTTGTACTATGCGTGGGTTTTTAATTGAACCGGGCTGTAAAACCCACCAGTTCACCAATCAAACCGGCCGACGCGTTCTGATTTTAATATCATTGGTTCTAGAACCGTTAAATTTTGCATTTTTCAATGTCTGAAAATTTATGGATGCATATTTTGTCATATTTGTGTATATATGCAATATTAGTGTGTGTGTGTGTGCGACTCGGGTCCAGGGTTTTTGACCTGTACCCGACCCGCTTGCTCCAAAACTGTGACCTGGACCCGGACCCAGATTAGGTTGATGTGATGACCCGAACCAATTGCTACCCCTACGACTGGTTCGAACATCGGGCTAGTCGGTCCACCACTCCTTGACTTGTTTGATGGACTAGCCCGTCCATGGGGGTGAATGGCCTAGATAGGGCACTTGTTCACCAATTCCTGGTTCGAACCGGCAGATCTTGTCTTGTCTTGACATCTTTGGAAGAAAACATATTTTCATATCAAATTAAAATTAAAATTGAAGATTCAAAATATTCAAATCTCTACAAGTATAGCTAGGGAATTTCCAATGCCAAAAAGATGCAAAAAAAAGTAAAAAAAAAAAATGACATTTTAAAAGGACCAATAATTAAAAAATACAAAACCAAAAAAGGAAACATTTTTCTTTGTATATAAAAATATCAAACTCTACTAATTTAGCAAACTAAGAAACAACTCATTGCAATCATTTGAAAAAGGACTTCTGATTGAGTGGTCGGAACAACCTCGAAAGTTACTAGTTGATTGCCACATGCTAGGGAATTTTTTGGTTTAGAGAGCAAAAAAATATTAAATATCGAATCTCTTTTTAAAAAACATATTCTAAACCCTAAAAACCCATCCTATTGTTGAAAGTGACCAAAATGCTCCTTAACGAACTTGAAAGGACAGGAAAAAAAAAGGATAAAAAGAACTGGTTAAATCATGTTAAAAATTCAAAAAAGACGGAAAAATGGGGCATTTCTTGTCCCCATTGGAACTGGCTGGCTCGGTGCTTGACTGGTGGACTGGCCGGTCAAGACACTGGATGAACGGTCCACCAGTCTAGCCCGGGTTCGGTGGACCAGCCGGTCCAAGGGGAATGATGTAGAAAGTTAGAAACTAGTTCTTTATTAATAATTTACATTTTTTTCTGTACCAATTTGTTTTGTATTATATGATTTATTGAAATGTAGCTTTCTTGGAAAGCTTCTCTCATCAAAGTATGGATATATATGTGTAGCATATGTATTATAGATGTATTCTACGTTCACCAATTTTTTTTTTTGTGTGTGTGTTGATAAAAACACACAACAATTTGTAATTAGAGTAGTAGAATGTGCAAGTGTATCTTGTGTACATATGCATGCCGAGACACCTACATTATGTCCTTGTGTGTATATATAAATTTTAATTGCTTTGTCTTGGTGTATTCAGTTTTTTTCATTTTTTTGGATTTTTTCTTTTATCTTTTCCTTAAATTTAAGGAAAACGAGCAAATAGCTGGATCTGTGGTGGACAACTTGAGTTGTTTAAGGGTTTTAACTTTTCTGTGGAACTGTTGGTTATTCTGCTCTTTTGGGAATGGAAGGAATTTTTTTAATTAATATATAATAAAAGATACATTACACTGAACCTATTTCAATCTATTGGGGGTTATGATATCTTGTAGACTAGAAATTCTTATCCATCTTATTGCTTCTATGTCTTGCATTATCCTTTATGTGGAAACCTGCATTTTAATATCTAGAGTATTTCAGTCAGATTAAGTAATGGATCTGATTCATTGCGTTTGTCTACTATTTTTTGAAGCATTCAAAGCTCTTGGAAAGTTGATGTTGGATATTGGGTTGATGTTGTCGTACCATTGTGATAATTATGGTAATCTCTTGATACCCTAAGAAGTATTAGTGCTACATTTCTTTTCCTATCGTTTCTCCAACAATTTCAAATTAACTAGACTGTCAATATAATGTTACCTGAGTTTTAATTCATTGAGAGTTCTATTAAAATTTTGGAATCATGATCTATTTAATCTAGTTATTTAGTGGTTTTTTGTTTATTTATTGATTTACACAATAAATGATATAAAGTTTGCGATTCCACATTTTGAATTAGAATTTCTGTAGTTTGTTTTCTTAATAATTTTCATTTCAGTACTAAAATGATATTCATATTTGTTTCGACTACACGCATATATATGTACATAAGGCCATGGGTATAGATCTGGTCAAGGGCATCAATCTGTTGCAATTGCAAGGATTGTATTTGGAGAATCCTTGATTCATAGCTTTAGTAAGAAGTACACCATATATGCAATAATATGGGTGTGTTAAATTATCAGATTACCCTACATGGATCTTACAAAAGGTCTCTAACCAAAAATGAGAATGTTAAATTTGTCATGGTTTAAATGTGAGAGTATCCATGCAATCCAGTGAAGATTGGCAGTCATTTGTCATGGAGGGACACAGATTTCATTGTGTATGCTCATGTTATGTGGCCACACAGTCTCACTTAATGGTAATCTAGGATTGGAACCTAAGAATAGGCAACTCTATTAACTAGTTACCTTGTTCCTTCCAAAAGAACTCTGGGCTTTAATTGATAATTTGTAGATGCAGGGTGATTGGAAAAGCTGTTAAAGTACTTGTGTTTCTCAGAACTTGTAACACATTTCTTTAGGAGTTCTACAGAACCTTTAATATGGACCTTCCAAATTTCCTTGTTAGGAGCAACTGAGTTCACCTTTCTGTTGTTTCTTGCTTGTATCTTCTGGGTTTCAAGGTTGTTTCTCCCGTTTAATTTTGTATTGCTCAGCACTGCATTAGAGGCAACTCCGCTTTAATTCTTCCCAATAGCGCACAAGCATTATCTTTCCTCCTTACATTTAACCACTTTTATCTCTTTGATATGTTCCATTCTGTTACTGCAAAGCTTTTCTTCTAAGTAGCTTTGTTGAACATTGGGCCTCTTGATACCAAGTGTCTTCAGTCATCGTGGTACAAATGGGCTGCTCGATGTCTGTCCCAACAGCTAGAACTGAAGGGATATAGCGATGAAATGTTGGGCTTTTTCACAGCTACATTTACACATTAAGCACCCTGAAGCAGGAGTTACTAGACATTTGGGAATGGTATTGAGTAGGAGCCTACCTCAGGTGGTGGACAACACATACCTGTTCTCCTAAAGGATTGAATGGAAATTCCATAGAGCTGAGTAGGTGGCATCATTTAGTTATTGGTGACTCATGACCAATGCTCTTCTAGCCTGGAAGTTACCCTTTTGTGTGAACTTCACCAACAACATCCTTGTCCTGTAATCTGGGTGGAGAAATCTAGAAGTCTTAACCTGGCTACAGATTTAGCTGCTTCTCTTCTTGCTACCCCTTTTTCATTTTTGTCAACAAACAAACTGAACTAAGTGATGCATTTTCTAATAGGGAGATTTCTTCTTATAGCCACTGAACTTGGCTCTGCACAAGTCAGGTTCTGAGGTTCAATGAGATGAGAGGGCATTTGACAGTGAGGATTACTTGGATTTGATGGTGACTTTCTGCTTGTACCTCCCACAATTATATTATTTCTGCTAGTCAATGTTGTATGAGTTACCAACATTGACTTCATGAATTGGGTGCTGTCATGCACATGCAGGAGCACTTTTGGGCAGTTGGCGTCTTCATTTATATTGTTTGTTAAATTTATTATATATTGGGTTGGTTATGGATTTGATGCAACTGTAATTTTGAGTCCAAAATTCTCATTAGAAGTTCTTAGGTTCTTAGGATACACAATGTTATATGGTCTGTGGTGCTCTTTACCTTTGAAATCCGCTACAAGCTGTGCCTGTTATTCTAGCGGCCTGATTATCATGAGAGTAAACATGACTTTTGTGGCTTGCTTGTTTCTATTTCTTTAGCCAGCTAAACAGTAGACTTTTTCTTCTGAGAACATGCCACAGCGGTATAAATATTTCTCTGGCAGCTATCTAATGAACATTAAGGAACATGAAAGCAAAATCCATATATAAAAATTTCTTCATTTTCATATTTTGTTTCTACTTTGTGTATTGGTTTTTCTGACCCATTTAGTTTGACATTTGTATAGTGTCAAACGGTAATATAATGTATGACTATGAAAGCCTTCAGCAGATACTTCGGCAGTCTCAATGTCATAAAGGACGCTTGCTGTACTACTTTCCAAGACAAAAGAGGTGATTTTTCTCTTAGCTTATGGCCTTATTATGTCAGTCTTATGCATGAGGCATTTTATTTGTTTCAAACGTCTCCTTGTGTTTATCGTTTACTCCTTGTCGTTATGGTGGCATTTTTTTGCAAAATTATAGGTTCATTCCCATCATAAGAGCATTATACTGTTTAGATTGTTATTCACTGCATGCTAAGAGTTGAAAATAAAATAGAGAAAAAAACGATTTGGTAGGATCTAGGGAGAGAAAGAAAGGAAAGAAAATAAAAATGATGATGAAGGAGAGAGAGATGTGTGAGAGATAGAGAGGGAAACTGAGTTGCTTAGAGGTCACTTGTGACCTCTACCCCTCTTATAACGTTAAATAATAATTGGGCAGCTTAACACAAAAATATAGAGGAGAGAGAGTGGCGTGTCTCCTTATGGGTAAAGAGAGGGGGGCACGTGACTTCAAGTTTCCTTTTGGAGATAGAAGAAATTTGGTGTGGAAAAAAGAGACATAGAGTAGGTGCGTGAGAGAGAGAGAGAGAGAGAGAGAGAGAGAGAGAGAGAGAGAGAGAGTAGTAGTACGTGGTAGGAGAGTAGAGAGTCGTACGTTAGTAGTAGTAGGTAGGTAGGTACGTACGTACGTACGTTACTTAAGTAAGTAAAGTAAAGTAA